GATTTCTTCAAAAGGGAACTGTAGCAGACTTTTTCCAAAATTGTTAATTATGTTATCCTTTTAATGTATTGTTCAAAGACCAAAAAAATGAAACCTAATTGCGATTCCTGGTTTTTCTAATTAAACGATTTCAACCAATAAAGCTGACCTAGAAAAACAAAGTACAAAAAGGATATTTGTTCTTTTTCTAGCCCCCACCAAATATTTTCATTCTTTTTGCAGTAAAAATTCATTTAATGGCAACGAATTAGCCTTTATTTAGACGGCAATAAAAGTATTTGGTTTAAAATACCATTAGGGAATAATAAACGATAAGCAACACGCGTAACCTATAAATTTTGGTGTGTTTGATCATTACTACCCTAGGTAATGGTCTCGTATGATAAAAGGTTCTTAAATAAGAGCGGACCATTGAATGATCGATTATTTCTAATCCAGTTTAACATCTTCATCAACCAATGAGTTACCATTGATGGTAGAGGAGTTGTCCAGTAAATGTATGACAAAGTAAATTTGTTATTAAGATACTCGTATTAAGAGAAGTTTGAAGTTTTATGGTACCACTCAGTGCAAGTATTCTGGATTACCTGGTCACAGTTAACTATTGTCAAGTAAAGTCAATTACGTAATGTAATAAGTTATCTTGTTATCTTTAGCAGAAGCAATGCCAGAAAAAATGTACGTATTCACTGTAAGAAGGTGCCCTCTTGCTCTAAAGGGTGCCCCATTTACGTAAGAAGTAATTTTGATAGAAAACACTGGTTTTTAAATAAAAATTGTAATTTTTTTATTAATTCATAAAGTTCACAGTACAGGGTTATGTATGGAATAGCATGTCGGGTAAATGGACTCCAAGTCTTTGCTGTAACATACTCACTTCTTTGCCGAAATTTTTCATGACTGTTTTGCATAAATACGGCTGAATTTCGTTGGTACAGCGCTCAATTTCCTCCATCGAGGTGTGGGTGGTTGTGGCGTAAATATTGGACTTCAAAAAAACTAAAGAAAACAGTCCAAATCGCATGATCTGGGCCAATTCTGATCACCAAGACGGGAAAGTACACGACCAGGAAATAACTCACGTAGCAATTGAATTGTTTCTCGGGCTGTATGACATGTGGCACCGTCTTGTTGAAACTACACGTTGTCTACATCCATCTCTTGCAATTTAGGCACAAAACACTGGATTAGCATGTCGCTACAGCGACCACCATTAACTGTTATTACCTGACCAGCCACATTTTTGAAGAAGAATGATCCGATGAAATCTCCAAACCAAAATCCGCACCAAACAGTGACACGCTGTGGATGCATTTGTTTCTCAACTCGTGGATTTTCTGAACCCCAAATGCGACAATTTTGCCGATTAGCGAAGCTAAATAGGGTATTACCGCCGAATTCTTGACAACACGCACCGATTTTCATGAAAATTGGTGAGTAAATTCATTTCAGCCCCCTTTACAAAAGTTACATATCCATAATGTGTGCTTATTGTTTTTAGGGGGTGAAAACTACTCCTTCTTGCAAAAAAACGTAAAAACCATAGAATTAAGTGTTATGCCAATAGAATAAGCATTATTTTATGTTTTGAATAATAATTTTTGATTTGTGGCGACATTTCAACCCTTAAAATCTACCCTTTATGAGGAAAAAAAAAACAAAAATTGTTTTCCCGGCTCTGAAATGTTTTGACGGAGCAAGAATGAAGAAATGAATATTTTTTACTGTTTATGAAATAATGTTTCAACACTTAAAAACCACCCTTTTTGCAGAAAATAAAGCAAAAAATATTTTTTTCACATCTTCATAGCATTTATACTGAATGAAAGACTCATCTCTGTTTATAATATTACTGATGATTCATTGCAACGTCTCAGCCCTTAAAAACAACCCTTAATGAGGAATTGAAGAATTTTTACCCGCTTCAAAACACTCAACGATACATTACTAAATTCAATGAGACCTCTGTTTGGTTCGTGATTGGAGGACAATTTTGGCAACATTTACACGATCCGACAATTCTCACTGAATAATACAATTCGTTTTTTCACGATAACTTTTTTAATTTTTAATAGTTTTCATCGCTCCAAATAACAATTTGCAGGAAACTGCAAGAGTTACAAATCAACCTTTATAGTTGAAGGGTCTTGAACTCTTCATTTTCGAGATTTTTAGGTTTCAAGGGCTCAAAGAAGGTGGTCCTTACATGCAAATGCAAACTAAAAAACGTAATATTTAATTATTATTATTATTATTATTATTATTATTATTATTATTATCATTATCATTATCATTATCATTATCATTATCATTATCATTATCATTNACCAAAAGAAAGAAATTTTTACAAATCAAAGACGGTCGGTGTTAATTATTTTCATATCTTCATTCAAGTTTGGAAATGTGGGAATGTCTTCATTTTCACATTACTCTTGAAATGCATTCAGTTCCTGAATACATTATTTGATCCTGAAGATCAGCCTTGGTCAATTTTTAGTACAGGTCCTGGTGATACTGAGATTTCTGAAGAAGTCTTGGTGAAACTGCTAATAATCATATTAGACCAAGGCGGACCTGTTTTGAGGTGGATGTTGAGGCAAGCAAATTTTTTCTGGATTACCTTCAGTATAACTCACATAATAAAAGTGTAGATCCTTACATCTGGGCGAGGGCCGAAACATTTTCGAAATAGCAAAAATGTTTACAAAATTTTTAAAAATACCTATTTTAGTTTTAGTTTTTTTTTAAGTATTTCTTGGAATCTATGCATTTTGGAAAAATATTGATGTGGAAAAAAGTTTTAGAATTGAATTTTGCACAATATACTGTAAGTTAAAAATGTTTAAATTTATTACCGATGTTGCAAAATAGCAATGGTTGATGAAGGGGCAAAATTATCAAGTTTCTTGGATAATCTTTTTAAAATATTTTAATTGCTCCGAGAGCATTCTAATTTTGGTAAAAAAAACTTTAGATTATAATAAACCAACACACCACTACAAATCAATAGTTGAAGGGTCTCGAACTCTTCGTTTTCGAGACTTTTAGGTTTTAAGGCTCAAAGGTGGTCCTTACACGCATATGCAAACTAAAAAACGTAATATCACCGTTAATTTTTGCTCTACAGAGAAATTGAAAGAGGGCAAAAATATTATAAAAAGACCTTTAATTTTGAACTCTTACATTTTTCACGTATTTTGTTTAGTTTTTTCATTATTTCAAAAAATAAAAATAAAATATTTTTAAAGATTAAAAAATTTTTCTTCATTATTTCAAACTTTTTTTTAAATTTAGGCATTCTAAACCGGTCAAACTTGCAGAGCCTATTATTAGTACCTAAATAAAGTCAACTGTACATGGATTACGCTTAGTTTCTATTTTTATGGTTTAGCCATAGATTTTATTTTTGATTTTTTTCTCCGAAAAAATGATATGACCATTTTATTTTCATCATAACTCCGCGAGTTTTTGAAATACGATTTTTTTTCAAAAAGCATTTTAAAGGTCTTTCCAGGCACTTTAAAAAAGGTTATATTAATTTTCTTCGAAAAATTAATTCTTTCGCCATTATTTTACGGTAAAAGGTTCGATTTTACTTTCCGAAAAATAAACAATCACTTTTAGAGTGATAACTCGGTTATCAACAAACAATGAATCGATTCGTTATTTCAATAGCTTTATTTGTGCGTTATATGGACTTTTCAATAAAACTCAAGGTTTTAAGTTATTTATCAAAAATGCAAATAACTCGGAAAATATTAATCTTTGGAAAAAACGTTATAGAGAAATTTTTTGCTTAGAATTTTCGTTATTAAAAGGGGTGCCTTCACATTCACCCCCAGGGTGAAAGCACACATCGGCACTATGTAACTTTTGTTTATTGAGCAATTTTCTACTTACTGTTAAAATTTCACGTCAATTGGTGCATGTGTCAAGAATCAGACCTAAAAACCGTCATATACTGAGCTATCATAACTGAAGATGACTTTTTTTTGAAAAATCTACATCCACTCGTTATTTCATAGTCCATTCAAAGAACTCTCTTCGCTCTACGTGGTCAGTAGGCTTCAGTTCTTGAGTCAATTGAACTTTGTAAGCATGAAAATGCAATTCTTTCTTAAGAATATGCTGTAGACAGCTTCTCGACCTGTACAACTCTTGACCACGGTGCCGAATTGATGTTCATGGAATCTCAACAACCTTTCACGAACTGCTTCGATGTTTTGTGTTGAACTTGTTGAAGAACGGCCAGAGTGTTGAAGATCACTAATTGATCCAGTCTCCCTGAATTTTTCAATTAATCTCTTCACAATTGATGAAGTGAAATTGCTATTCCGACCGTATTTTGCACGAAAATTGCTAACTGTAGCTGCCAAACTTCCATTATTTTCAAAATATTGCTCAACATGTTGTCCTTTCTTGTATCTCTCAGTTTTTAATAACTAACCAGTCAGTTGTCACCCTGTCTTTTTTTCGTTGGTAACCTTTACCGCACAAATTCAAAACTTGCAGGAATTTTAGGACACCTGATAGTAAATCATCGAGCACAGGTAATAAAACCGTGATAGCAAAATAATGTTTATTATGCGTGGCATATGATATTGCAACATTAATAAGATAAATTGCTATTATACAGATTATCTTAGCAAGACTTTCTAATTGGTCGATTTTAGTTAATGTATTAAACAAAGATGCAAAAGTGCCAAAAAAACTCAAATTTATAAACTCCAACAGGTTGTTAATTTGTTTAATGCCTACCTGATCCAAATTTTGACCGCGGTTTACGGAAACCAAGTTGTTTTGGCTTTTACCGAAACACTTATGGAAAGTGAGGTGAAAGTATGCAGATCTAACGACTTAGATTAACGAAACGACTCCAGGTGTCTTCCTCCGAGACGCCGACCAGCTGAGGACGGCATCAGCGCTGACCAGATACACCTTGGAAAGCATTAAACCCCACCTGATCGTCAACCGCTAGGGCAGCGCGATTCGCGCGAGCCTTCATTCAGTACAGTTTAATCCGCGGCGGCATCACTTCGCCAAACAGTCGAATAACTTAATCACCCGCGACTGTTTGTTTTTTTATCAAGGGACAGCTGATTCGTAGGAAGGAATCGGGAGAGCCGCCGCTTCTGGGGTTGGAGTGTCGAAGTCAGTTATGATTGACGGGTTGTCGGTCTGATAAGTGAAAGTGTCTGGATAAGTTTGGAAAAATGACGGAGAGGAACAGCAACGGCACCACGAATGGCAGTTCCAATTTGGAAATTGCCCAGAGCAATCAGGTAGGGCAGGATTTGGAAGGTTTAATGATTGGTAGATTTAGGACTTTTTATAGATTGGGTATTGGGTTTGAAACGTTGGTGGGAACCACGGAAAAGAAAGTTTCTCAGCTCAGATAGATCTGAACATACAAAGAGGCAAAACACTTTCAAATTCCTTTGAAAATATTGCACTGATAACTTTATTCATTACATTAATAAATAAATATTTTTGCATTATCTTTGTTTGTAATACATTAAAAATTATAGTAGGAGAAAGCTTGTGTTTACCTTTCAAATCCATTAAATTTAATTGTCCACAATATTGATTTAAGTTTCTATATTTCCATAGTAAAATATATATTATTGTCATAAATATCAAAATAATTATAATTGTAGAA